GTATAACACACACCCCAAGCAGTTTAATCTTCACGCAGATCAAGCAGGTTTTCAGCACTTTCAAGAGTCCTTGCTCTCAGAGCCCGTGCTGCACACAACTCCAGCCTACTCAAAATACTCTGTTTTGCAAAAAGCAGCAGGAGGTGCTGGTGAAAGGAAAGCAGGAAAAGCAAAGCACTTTATCTGATGCTGTAGTTCCTACTACCAGATTGACATGATGGAGATAACTCTCCCTTTTTGCTATTCAGCTACTGTGTGACTCAGCTAAATGACATTTACCTGCAACCTGCATCAAAGTGCAGCATGTTCTAGAAAAATACGTTTGACTTTACAGGTATTTGAAAAATGTAATAGAAGGAAAGTGCTCTTCCAAAGCAGGAACAATTATATTAATGATAAGAAATTAAATAAGGCAATTCAATCTCATCACTAAAAAACAGCAAAAAAGGTAACAGCAGGGGCTAGTACATTCCCACTGATTTGGAGTACCTTATGACCTACACTGCACACGACATTAAGACCTACCTGGAAAAGAACACTCCCCTCCAGCAGAAAGGGAGGCAGTGTTCTGTAGCTGAACAAAATCTTTTCCTTTTTTTTAATTCCATCATTTATCTCAAAGGGACAACTAGCAACTCAACACAGGTATGTACATCTGCAGCTTAAGCAAAACTGGGCCCTTGCACAGCTTCTGTACTCTCTCTGTAAATATTTTCCAAAGACCAAATGCAGAGAGAAAAAAAAAACCCACATAAAACCACACTGAAAAATCAGAAGTGGAATGAAGAGTACAAGAACAGAGCACTGCAGCATTCAAGTATTTGCTACTGCTTTTAACTCATTACAATGTCTCCAGTCCTCTGTTGCCTTATTCTCAAACTAGATCCTGCCAGAAAAACTGACGTTGTGGTATCTAACCTTCCTTTGATCAGCCTCTGAAAAACTGTGGTGGAAGCACACCTTGATCACAACAAATGGGCATGTAGTCACAGTATGGCTACACTTAAAATAGCCCAGGTATTGTCCTGTACACCACAGCCATAACTACTCACATAAGATCTCACACTGAGAAAGTACGTCAGTGGAAGTTGATTATGATGTCCTAGGGAGTTTTTCCATCCTCATAAACCTTTAAGTCAGTACGAAAGCTTGAAGTCTTTATTTATGATGGCAGTTGTAAACCAGCCAGCACCCATTAATTTCAGTGAGGGTTTGCCTGTGTGCTGGTATTCTAAATAATGTTGAAAGACCTTCACTTCAAGAGAACCAATCTAAGTGTTGAGCATTGTGCTAATTTAAACTTACCTGTTACAATATAGGTAGGTTTTAAGCACTGATCAGACAAGCTGTAAATATTCTTCAAAGACTAACAGACTACATAAGAACAGAGACTTTTCAGTAAAAGTGTATTGCTCCTGAACACAAATCTCTGCTACATTCCACTCAGGAGAACTCCACAAGAAGCAGGAAACACACTCACATTCCTTGCTGAGGTATAAGCCATATACAGCATCTCACTGATGAGGAAAACATTTTGAAACACAGACTCATTCAGCTCTGCTTTTGAGTAAAGGAATCATAAGTACCTACTTTAGGGACAGCTGAAGAGTTTTTACCTTTCTAGCCCTACGAGACCTGCAAAGCCTGCAACACATTTGCACACCAGGAGAACTTTCTGGTGCTGATCCCAGAACCCTCTGTCATCCTGCTGATGTGGCTGTGCTTGCAGAAGCTTCCCCTAAAGGAAATATGCCTGCTGGACCTTTGCTACTGAGGAGGCTTAAGGAAAGCAGCCTGACTTAGGCTTCAAATGCATAACCTTTCTCACCTCATAGCAATCTTTCCTAGCTCTCCATCTCTGTGCCTGCCAGCCAAGCAGGCTGTTTTGCGTATTCACCCAAAACACTAGCCAACCTCCCCCCAAGATCTGTCAGTCAGAGTAAACAAGGGCAGGATAACATGTGTACTTGAATTGTTTAACTTAATGTGGCTTTTCAGAGTCCAAGTAAAATTGATAAATTACAAGGAGCTTAATTTGCATCCAGAAAAGAAAAGAATATCCCCTGCATAGTTTCTGAGAGGTCTGGACATTTCAGGATGGAAGAAGACAAATTTGGCTTAGTGGTTTAAAGCACGGTTTTTCCCTCTACAGACTTCATCGATCAACCCATTCAGGGATGCACTGGTTGCTTGCAGAGCTTCCAAACATCTAGAAATTCTCACCCTCGTTACTGTGAACAGCAGTAGCTTTGTTCCTTAGGAGTCCAAGCAGGCTTACTGCCTAAACTATCCGTGCAGAGGCCAAAACTTCAGAGAAGAGTTTCAGGTGGAGAACCGACAAAGTCTTCTGGACTCCATAATCAATGAAAATGTGGTTTATAGCATTATTTAATCTAAAAGAGGAGCAAACCAGCCCAGGACAGATATAACCTATAAGCAGAAGTGTTTCAGTAAGAAAGTTTTCTCCCTGAAGCAGCACACTTTAAACTGCAGATACACTAGAAGTTCTTATGCAGGTACTTAAACTATAATTAGCTAGATTCTCTGCCTGCCAAGGGAATCATAAAATAGATCAGTGGAATGAATCTAGACCAAATAGGCAGATAAGTAAGAACAGCAAATTTACAATTACTTAACATAGGTGCTTAACTTGATATTTTCAATCAGCCTCACTGAATATTAATGGAATGGTGAAAAAGTTAAACATCTGCATATTTATCAGAATTATCTCTATATTTTTAGCAATAAACCAACTGGATTAGAATAATGATTTTTCTCTTATAATCTTTTCCGTATACATTCCTGAATGTTCATTTTCTTTTCTTCTCAAGTTGTTGAGCTAGAAGCTCAGCTCTTGTTTTTTCAGTTTCCCAGTTGTCAGAAAAACGCATCTTACATAGTGTTCTTTTCCACCAGTGGCTGTAAATCAGTGTCCCTATCTCCCTGAATCTCAAGAGAGAGAAACAGGACATAGTAAAAATTTTGTCTCTTCCAAATGCTAATTCACTTGCTCAGCGTTCAGGGAGTCCTCAAAGCGCTGAGGAAACAGGTCTTGACCTTGTAGAGTGGCAATCGGAGAAAGGTTTAGAGCAATTTTATTAGCCAATCAGCATCAGAACTGGAGCATGGTTTCCTTGTGGTGAAAGCAGAAAAGCTATAACCAGCCCTTACTCTGAAATCCAGCTGAGGCACTGCTATGTATAGGAGAGACAGATCAGCTTAGGCCTCTTGAACAGGGGCTATGAGCAACATGATGCAGTTGAAGATGTCTCTGCTCATTGCAGGGGGGCTGAACTAGATGACAGGACTAGAGGTCCTGTCCAGTCCAAACCATCCTATGATTCTGTGATTCTATGAATATACATACAAAGATCTTCTGGGGCAGCAGGGACAAATCCAGCCATGGATTCATAAAGCTCTTCATCAGACCCAGGATTCAAGGAACACTTCATTAACAGATCAGTGGACAGGTGAGCCATGGACTCATAAACAGACTCATCCTCCTCGCCTTGCATCAGCTTTTCCTTAATGTGACTCTTCAGCATATCTGCAGTTTCCTGGAGAGGAAGAAGGACAAGGGAAAAAAAAAAATAAGAAATTATCAAGTCTCATTTAGATAAAGAATCTGGAAAATTAGAGCAAACAAAAGATATCGTACTCTCCCATCACTGATGGAAAAAATCTTCTAAAAGAAGCCCATTCCCAAAGACTATGGCTTCTTAAAGGAATTAAATCCCCACTACACCTTCTGGGCCCAGCCTTCAAGATCCATGTTGTAATAACCAGTAATGAAGGTAATAGAAGTTGGTGCTGACACACATCTGAATAGGCATTACAGCCTCTCACCCCCTCAATTTCATGTCCTACGTGATGCCTGCAAACTTCTAGAACATAAGCAAAGCTCATTCTAAAAATGCAAATGCTTGACAAAGGCTATTTTGAGGTAAGCGTGGCTGACTATAAGGGGGAAAGCCTGCCATATGCAGAGCACTTAACAAGAAAGTAAAATTACACCAAAATTTTAGCTCTGGTGTAGATTCATTTTCAGTTTCCTAGTATTACCAGCAGCTTGTAACACCCGGAGTGGGAGTACATAGACCTTTTTTGTGACAGTAACAGGAAACCTCACAGCAGGCAGTTGTTCATGTAATATAGGCAATTTTCAATTCACAGGACAGCAGAACCCTTGCTCACATATTTGCAGCATGGGGTGGGGGAAAAGAAGTGCAGATCTTCACCAAATGATGCAAGAGAGCAAAATGTAAATCTTCATCCCAGCCTCCTCCCCAGGTTCCAGCTATGTCACAACCACAGCTGTCTTAAACGGTTGCACTACTGTAAGAAATTCTTCCATCCACAACTGCAACCTCACGGGCCCTCAATCCACAGGGCATGTGTATCAAAACTGTCTACGCATGCTTTCTTCCACAGTCAAAATAGGTCAGGCAGGTAGCTCATAAGATGGCTTTAGGGAGGTGCAGAGGAACTTTTGCCAGGGAGAATATTAGGTAACTGGGTTTACTGGGACTTTCAGATATTCGTACTAGTCATGCTTCTAATCACTACCTTGCAGTGGACACAGTGGTGCAGATAATTCGTGTGCTCATGTAGTAAGCCGCACAGATAATTTGAGGGTCAGTAAGCAGGACCTACTCTTAACACAGCTCTTACTGTGCTGGTGGAAAGAAGGACATGAGAAGAGTACAGTACTGCAATAAGAGGTTGGAAGGACTTCCTAAGCATCTCTCATACCCCAGTGTAAAGATTTTAATCACACAATTTACAGTTTCTGCAGCCCTCCTGATATCAGAACAGGAAATGGCCTTTATTTAGCTCTTACATATAACCTTAAATTCATACTTATGTCAAGAAGCAAGCACCGAGTCTAAGAGCCACCCATGCCACCACTTAAATGCTACTGTAATTGGCTGGCAGAACCACACTAAGGCTGGCAGATCTATCACCCACCATTCAGACAACTCTTAGGGACAACTATACACATCTTTTCAGCTGAAAGCAAAGGAAAATATGTAAGTGGGATAAAGGGGCTGTAGTTTTCCCAAGATCAGAGGTTAGAAGAGTACACCAGGCACCAACAAAATCCCTGCAGAAACTTCGTTAGATGAATGGATGATATGGAAACCCAGCCATGGCAGTCTCTGCTTCCATCTTATTTGTTTCTGTGCAAAACCCCCAAGAACTTCCCCACCTCCAGAGACCCAACCCTCCAGCCTGGAAGCTTTCAGTGTGTCTGGATGTCTGTATTCTATACCCTACCACAACACACTGCTCCCTTTGTAACCCCTTCACTCCTGCTCCCACAACACCAAGCGCCAAGCTTGGTGTCACTGCTCACACCTGCTGTGGGACAATTCAGAAGGATGGCTGCTCCCTCTTACCACATATTCATCAATGAATTGGCGAAGGTCCTTAAAGCCATGCTTTTCTGCTATGGTGTTTGGATAGTGGCCATATTTGTTGGCTACACTGTAGGCCTGCAGTGCTCCAGGGCAAGTAAGCAGCAAGGCAGTGAGGTTCTTCAGCCCATATCTTGCTGAAAAGTGAAGCAGTGTTGGCAACTCCTCATCTCTCTGATCTGTGAGAACATGAGCCTGTTAGAATCTAAGTTTTTCTCTAGCAGCAGAGCCAGTAAGCTTAAGTCCTGTGACCTATAGTGGGGAATCTGCCACTGTAATAACATAATATATGTAGGATCTCAGTTTTGCAAAGACCTCTTAGATCATCATACCAGCAGGATCCAGCTGCTGTAAGGTAACCATGTCATGGTGCCACAACAATACAATTGCTGAGTGCCCACTGTGCACCTTCCAGCAGAATCATGGGGTTGGGGAAAAGGACTGGGCTGGGGAGAAATGCCATACGAGACCGGGCGAAGAACAAGGGAGAAAATACGGGAGACATTTTGGGGAGCATCATCTTTTGACTCTGGTTGTGTCTGAAGCTGTCCATAGTCACACCTGTTGCAGTGCAAGGAAGTGAGACTGATGCATGTAATAAAGAAAAGGTCACACGACCCAAATGGCAATCCCCCTTCTACAGGCATCATCAGAAATTTAGCTTCCTGGCTGAGATCCAAGATATTTGAAACAGCCTGTGCAGGTAGCACACACTTGCAGCATTAAGGCTGCATTAAGGCGCTCCAAGGAAAAACAACCAATACAGGTGAGGTTTAAAAATGAAACAAAAATCTTTCAGCTTACTTGTTGTCATATCTTCTTCTTCCAGCTGGTTGATTCCAAACAGGTGTAAGCCACTGGCAGGAATGTTCTTCTTGAGTGACTCAGTCAACAGTTTGTCCAGTGCTTCTATGCTGTATGGCACAATTTTAAAGGCCTACAGGTAAATGGAAAGTGATTGTGTTTGAGGGTGCCTAGAGATTCAGTTAAGGTGAGATTTAGAAGGTGTTTATTTAGCACATACCAGAAAACAGTAGGCATAAATACTAAAGGCAGCAGTGTTCAGGTCAAGCAAAGAACATGAGCGGCTTCCTGGTCCAGAAACTAAGAATCAGGAATCTGAGCAGATGAGAACCATACTCTCCAGAACAAGATAGAGTACAATGAGAAAGTCGCTCACGCAACGGGAAGCACAGAAAACTCTTATTTCCTAATTCCTTGACAGGTATACTCTTACCTCTGAAACTATTCCAGCAAAGTGTCACTCCTGCTCTAAGTATGAACTAGTTCATTCTGAACTGCTCTTTGTACACTTTGTGTTTGGCTTTTGAACTGGTTCTTAGCCAAAAACTGCATGCCTATTCCCCAAGTTGAGGCATAGCCCAGTGCCAACTGCTCCACAACTTGAACTGAAAAGAAAGGGAAAGACAGTCTCTCTTGCCCCAGGTATACTCACGACTAGCAATACTACTCTGTAGGTTTCCACTACATGGCTGACGATGCCAGCAGGTAGAGAAACAAAAACCAAAAAACAAACAAAAAAAAAAAAAAAAAACCCCCCCCCAAAACAAAACCCCAAAAAAAAAAAAAAAAAAAAAGGAAAGAAAACAAAGACAAACCACACAAAACAAAAACAACCAACCAAACCAACCCACATCTGGAGAACTTCCTGTTCAAGATTTACCCTTCTAATAGCGTTCAGGTACCTCAACTGCACAAAATGTGATATGAGAACTGAGAAGGGGCTTTAAAGAAGTGCTAAGAATAAACAAATCATTTTATATTACTTCATTCAGCTAGTATGAATCTTTGCTACCTATTCACATCCTCTCCAAGAGCCCTTAGGTACAAGTTTCCAAACAATTTATTCCTTTATGATACTTTCTTTTACATCAAGTTCTGTCATTCCAATCTTCTCAAGTCAAGGTCTGCATGTGGGGATTGACTGCATTTTTTTGTTAGTTGGCTAGCCTGAGTCACCTTAGCAGCTATTTGCTCCAGAGGCAGGAAAAGCACCAATGCTTTCTCTAAAAGGGGATGTTAAGGTTATGTGAAAATCCATAAGTAACCTTGCATTTATTCTCTTCAGAAGAACTATTTCATGGAAATACTTTTGCTCATTTCCACTTGCCTAGTCTCTGAGAAAGCTGGTTTCCAAAGCTGCTGTTTGCTAGTCATTACCTGGCACATGAACTGTACTGGGTTGGCTGCATTAGCCAACAGACTGCTGATTTCTTCCATGTCAGTATGATACGTGACACTTGTTTCTCCCACCATCAAGTCTCCTGAATATATCTGCAGAGGCACTGTCCCAGGGGTTAAATCTTTGAAAAGAAAGAGAAGGAATCAGTGTTAAGAACAAATGTGAATGAGTCTGCATCAAATACCCTGAGGATAGCAGGAGTTTGGAGATACTTGTAGCTGAATGCCAGAACAGTTTCTGTTGTATTGAATTTATGAATATGTGAAGTAAAGGTGATTATGTTGGTCTGAACACTAGGTAGTAAAGTACTTTGGAACTACCTTCTTCATAGCTATATCAATACATTTCACCTGTGACTTGCTAGGTCCTCTGCTAAGAGTAGTCTGAACTAATTATGTTAACAGTACACCACCTCAAACAAAACAGCCTCACATCTCTCCATCCCTGGCTTTCTCTGGAGCAGTCTCTAAACATACCATAAAATATGACAGCTGGTGAAGAAGAGGAGGAACCAGAAAAGACACTAGGGGTTTTGCAACCTGTCAGCCTCATTAATCTCTGAAGGAGAATAACTTAAAAAAATTCAAGCTTTGCAAATTTACCCATGCACAGGATATATCTCCCACCTGCAGCTTGGGAGCTTCTCAATGTTTTGTCTAATGTGCATTCACAAGTCTGAACTTCCTCTTTGAAACACAAGTATCTTGAATCTCACTGAAATTAATCTTTCCCTGGTGGCTATTAATGTCTTGAGAAATTATGAAATCATTACAGTCATACACAAAAGCAATTAAACATATATTTCTCTTAATGCTTGAAACTGCAGAGCATACATAGCTGTACACTCATTCAATGTCATGTTGTTAATTCAAAGGTCATGTTTATAATTCAAAGTGCGAGATTAGTTTCTGGGTCCATGTTTAAATTGTAAGTCTTGATTTAAGATAGATTAAGTTGAACATTTTTATGTAAGTGAAGTCACCTTCTTTAAATCAATCCACCTCACTGACTTTACAGGAGTTGCTATAATGACCATTAGTCTCTGTTCCCAGAGCTGGCATAATAACTCTTCAAGAGGACAGACCAAAGTAGATTAAATAAAATCATGCTGCAAAACTACTATCAATCTGTAGGACTCTGAAATCTTGCCCCTGAAGTTTAGTGAACCTAAAGTTTAGACAAGTTACAGTTTTGTAAATGTAAATATCTAGAGGGACAGAACATACCTATATTAAAATGCAAACCAGGATAAACAGTTTCAGCACTGATCACAGAGACATCACCACACATTAAGCACATGCTATTATACTCATGCAATTATTTACTGGCACTTACATTCTCTTGGCACCCTGCCAATGCTAATGTGGTGGTGATTATAACATGCAGTCAAGTTCAAAGTGCTTTACAAGCTGCAATCTGTTCTCAGAATTCCCAGTAAGGTGTTTTCACACTGCAACCCTGACACTGCTGAGGGGAAAACAGAGCCCCCAGCAAAAATCTATCTCAGTTTCTCATCACGGAAGTATCACAGAGAATGCAAATTCAAGATTTCCTGGCCTCAAGTTTTCTTGCATTGCAACCTTTACCCTTATCCCTCTGGCACTTTTCATGACAAGCAGATTGAGATAGAAAGGAAGCAATGGGTGTAGGGTGGGGGAAATCTCAGCCCAGCTTACTTGGAGCCTCCACAGAGATTGTGTACTCATTCTCCATCTCAGCCAGCACACGCACAGATGATGCATTCTCTGGAGAGAATTCAACTTCAGTTTTCACTTCACCATCTAGTTTACATTTCATGATAATATAAACTGTTGTCTGCACCTAAAAGAAAAGGCATTACAAAATGCAGGTTCCCAACGTAAGAACACTTACTTTGTTAAGCCCCTTTTCTAGGAATCTTCTTGTCATTGCAACCAACGTATAAATTATCAGCTGTCATCTTCATGGTCCTGAATGCTTTTCAGGAGCATCTTCCAGCCACGGACATTCACAGGTGGCTTCTGTTACAGCTTGCACCAGCATAGACAGACGCATTACACTGATAAAACTCCAGATTTATCAGCTAGATTCATAAACTGATTAAAGCTAGATTTATAGAACTATTTAGTTTCAACTCTATCAGTCTCTTCCCTCAAGCAGCACACCCCCACTCTAAACAGAAACGAAGGAAGAAACTTAGACTTTTTCCATCTGAGGAGATGCAATACTAAGATATGCTGGTTTTCAGACAGCAAGCTATGATCCAACCTCTTTGGCACTTATAGGACATGCACCAGACCTGTCATATTAGATTGCATCCAGGCTGTGGAATTAAGCAGCTATGTTAACGAGACTGTCAGTAAGTGACATTGCAGCCTACACAACACTGGGCACAGCATGTTTCCTAGTTATTTCTGGTCCTAGGGAACCGAGCTCATGAAACAGAGCCACTGAGGACAGGGGGCTGAGAGGAAAGGTGACAGAACAGGAATTAGGGACTAATTCCCAGGCCTGTAAAGCTTTCCTCTACAGAGCAGCGTGAGTTGTACCAGCTTATGGTAAGAACATAGCCCAAAGAGTGGACATACAGTACCCCACACCGTATGCGATCAGGCTGCACCACCAGATGATCCCCAGTACTCTTGGATAATCCGTGTTCGTCATTCATGGTAAATCTGTGGGAGTAAATTAGGTTCTTCTCCTCTTCTGTTTCTGTATCAGTCACAGAGTCACAGCCTGAGTCTAAAATAAAGCATACAAGGTCTTGTCATTACATCATTCCCCTTTGCTGAAAATGCATATCATATACATGCATCCTGATAAACAGCCAGTGAGATGGTGGGGTGGAACTTGCTTTTCTTCTCAATGTAACGCTCAGGAAAGGGGATCTAGTTGAAGAAAGGGAAACTACAGAGCTGCCTCTTTTATTTTCTCCCCCTTAAAAGGATTGCTGGGGAACAAAGACATAAAAGTGCTGTTGTAGCACTGAACACACTTACAAAACAAATAACAATGCTACTCTGCTGAGATGGATAGCCCCTTCTCATGTCAGATAAGAGAATTAGGATGTGGATGTCTAACATAAGAATGATCAGCAACTGGACCCATCTGAATCTAGCTGTGCTCTGAGCGTGTTGTAGGATGGGGAGCAGCCTTTAGTTTTCCTCTTCTAAAGTAAATGAAGAAAACCAATTTTTCTCGCTTTTCAGTAATAACTTTAGTTTTCTGGATCCTGCTTGTGTTGCTCATCCCAACTCCCAAGTTCATTACTGTGACAAAATACAACATGAAGCAATAGCCTTAAGGGATCCTGTCCCTTGAGCAAGAACTATAAGCTCCTGTATCTATACAAGAGTGAAACTGAAATGTACCAGAGCATCTCCACTGAAGAATAACAATACCCAAACAGACCCAAAAGTAGAAGTAAACACATGTAACCCTACCATCTGTGTGTACAGAACAATGTTCTCATTCCTATTTCCCGCTACCAGCATGGATATTGATGGAAGAGCAAAAAAACTAAATTGGTATGACTGGCTGCAAAGAAAAGAACTAGTAAGAATTAAAATAGATTACAGGATGTCTACCCCTGCCAGGAAATACTTTTCCCAACTAGAGACAGGAAACACCAGATGATTTTGTATCTACTTAGTAGAGAGTGCTTTTTTATCTAGTTTCTACCTCTTGATTCACGAGTCATGCCTTTTTTTCACCTGTCTCCCAAAACATGGGGTGAAAGTCACTGATTCCTCCTTGTCAGAAGACTAGCATGAATTCTTAAAACTCAATCTGCCATGGCCAAAATTTTCCAAACCTTGGAAAACTGTGGAGTAGTCAAGGATTTAAGACAACATTTTGAAAGTTATTTGTTATTTACTACTTACTGTAAAACGTATCTGTAAAGAGCAGTATAAACTATTTACTAGATAAAATCTCAGACTTGGACTGGCAGAGTTCTTCAATTGGTAAGAAATGTGCTATTTAAAATGCTCAGTCCCGATGAGAAAGACCTGAGAGACCAACTGCACTGTTTAACCTGTGGCATCCATACAGTGAAGCTGCCAACAGCTCAGGTTTTACTTAGAATCCCCAAATCTCTGCGTACGCCAAGTTTCCACAAAACAAGAAAGTCAAAGTTATTAAAACAGGCTTCTATAGGAGCTCATGCTAGTTTCAAACAGTGAAGTTAGAAGTAAGTCAGGAATTTAAATCATTATTATCATCATCACCACCACTATCACCAAAAACTTAGGATATTTGAAATTTGGTCATACACTTTTTTAAAATATATTTTAAATACATTTAAATGGGATTTTATGAATTATATGATTGCAATTCTGCTTTCAGGAGACAAGTTTTAAGCCACACAATTTTAGCAAATCATTCAGCTGAAATTTAGAATTTGTGGTACACATTCTCCTAACTTTATGTACGTGAATCATTCCACATGGCAAGTAAGCCTACTCACATGAGTATAAGTACATTGCTGCTTTAATATTTGCTGTAGAAAGAGTAGAGCCAAAAATCTGCAGCTCTAAAGTTCAAGGTATCACCACCAACACTGACATTTCTTAAACAAACCTAGAACAGTACATGTAATTTAGCAAATAAATTTTAATACTGCACCAACACAAATCTGCAGATTTGACTAAGAGACTACTTTGACACAAGGCTGTGCACTGAAGGTGGTCTTTTGGATTTTCAGACAGGGGTAGCACTACAGAAAATGAACTGAAGCTTTAAATTCCTTAACTCAGTATTTTTAATTGATACTGTCCAAAGTCATAAGCTGCAAGAGCCAGACCCCACTTTTGGGAACCCTTCTTTTAGGGAAAGGTGGACTATTCCCACCTGGGAGTGTCAGGCTGCCCAGGAGAAAATAAAGCACTGGTCCCACATCCTTCCCTTACATGATGTCTATCACACCAGGCATTTGGCATATGCAGAGCAAGACTGCTCTGGGGAGGAGAAGAGGCAACTCTTACTAGAATAGTGACTCTGTAATATCTGTTGGTTATTTCCAATATGACTAAATCAGAAAGACAAAGCTCACCACAGACAAGACAGAGCAAATGATGACCAAATTACAGCAAAACATTAAAGTTCCTGCAACATATGCCCAAACTGACACTTGCCAGCATGCTGATACTAAGGGCATCATACCCGCCCCAATATGGCACCATAAGTGTGCTAACTTGTATCTTATTTGCCTAACATACAGTCCATTTCAGAGGAAAATGAAACCTAAAGCTGTAGATCTCAGCTACAATATCTACAGTAAGCAAGAATAAGAGGGTTGTAAGAAGAGAATAAGCCCCCTGGTCTCTCTGCTTTGCTGATGTTGTTTGATACTAGAGAAAAAAAAAAAAAAAAAAGCAGATTAAGAATACTCTGAGCTTTTAAGAAGTTCTGGGATTGCCTGATCCTGTCTCACACTTCTACATTCTTGTAACAGAATTGACTGCCCCCAGGTCATATGTAAGCACAAATCTGTTAAGTAATATGGGAAGAAGCAAGCAATGTTAATCAGTAATTGGATTAACAGCTGACAGAACAGGCACTCGCAGTTTCGGGTATTATTCATCTGGTTTTTTCTTTCAGAAAATTCTGAAGTTGCAACTTCCCACATAAGCAGTGAAGTGAAGCTATGGTCATCTTGCAAGTTCCAGTCACGTGCTACTGACTTGTGCATGTGCAAGCACTGCAAGAGGAAGCCATCCCATCACATTTAGTAACATCCGTGCTCTAAAGGAACGTGTATCTGGATCAGGCTTCTCACTCACAAAGATACTTGAGTAATGACAACCCATTTGCATATACAGATTCAGCAATTATCTTATTAATTGCAATGATACCCAGGCTAGAAAGGTCATTACAGAGGACATCAACAGACTCCTTAGAAAGTTAAATGTGTACCTGAATTGAGCTTCTCCATGAGCAGTTGCTGTAGGTCAACAGCTCATGGTTATATACAGCTCTGCCTTGCCTGGAAGGCCTGTCTGATCCCCTTTAAATGAAGGCTACCTCTGGCCACGTTTGACAGCCTGTGAAATACTTGTGAGCATAGCAGCAAGGGAAGGAAATGCGGTCCAAGAAACCCAACCACATTTCCCCTTGAAGAACATGCCCCCAGTCCAGGAAGCATCAGTAGCTGAACTACACAGAGCAGCCCACACCAGCCTGGTTTTGCTGGTTCTCCTAGGCTCCCCAAACAGCTGCCCTGCAGAAACTCATGGCTGGAAAACTCCCAGGGAAGACACAGGCAGGGCCACATGCTTCATGAGCCATTTAGCAGCTTTAGGAACTAATATGAAACAGTCAGTTATTTTGATCTGTTTCTGTACGGTGCACACAGCTCACTGTCATCCATTTCCTCCTGGCTAAGCTGGCAGGCTATCAGCATGGAGACGACAGCTGTGGTTTCTCAGAAGTCAGCCTTTACACCACAGGACACATGAATACTTGGAATAAGCCAGCAGCTGGTCCAGACCATTCTGTCATCCAAATACTGATGCAAATGGCACAACTGGGCAACAGCTTGTCCATACAGGTTCTGCATCTGCAGACTAGCCCCTTGCTGGCATCTGTGAACACCTCCCACCCCATCCACAGACCGGCTCACCAGCCAAGGCAACTAGCTTTCACCAGGCCTCAGACTTTCACCTCAGTACACCCAGAGCAATAGGGAAGGCCCTCAAAGAGAGCTCTTTCTATCACTGAAGTTTGCAACTGACGAACCTTCTTTTCCAAGTGTGGACAAGGACATTAAGTCTCCCAGAGCAACTCCAGCTGCATTTGCAAGAAGCAGGCAATGTTTCGATAAAGTAGTCAGGGAAAGCAAGGAAAGGGCCCCTGCTTTACCGGAGTGATACACACTTAGCAGTGAAACATTTTGTGATAACCCTCTCAAATCTGGGTTATATTGTAGCAACATTTTCCCTTTCAATAGAGCAGAGAGCAGAACACAGAAAAGCAACTGGTGAGAAGGAAAAATACACAGGAAAGTGTAAGACTGCAAAACTGTCCATACAGAACTAATAAAGTGTGGAATATCTCCCTCTTCTCTCCATACCCCTTACACTCCCACCAGCTCATCTACAAGCATAACACCTAAAAACGGATTTTCAGTTCTATAAAGAAAGTGGTCATGTTTCATTTCTTCTGCAAAGTTGGAAGTTACAATAAATGAGTTCTCATATTTCCTCAAGGATATGAGCTGTATTTTACTATGCCAAGTTTTGCTTGAGTCAGCGTGTACACACGCTCTTGGGCATCTCTTACGGAAGCTGTATCCTTACGAAGGACACAACTGGGCTACTAAGAGACCTGTTGACAGTACCAGTGTTTCAATAAATTGTGAGAAGCCAGAAGGTAAGTATTTACTTAATTAATATATATCCTTAACACTAAAAACCCCATACATTACTCCACAGTTTTGCTCTATAAAGCCATCCCATCCAAACTTCAAAGAACAGATTTTCTTTGTTGTATTTTAGAACTACAGACACACAACTGAAAGGAGAAAAATGTTTTTACAGCAGAGTGCAAGAGGCTTTCACGATCTTCATGAAGATTTAGCCCAAGTGAATGAATGTATTCACTTTCTTTGGTTCAGGGTTTCCAAATGCTGCTTCCAAGTTATTTTCTAATTTCATCTTTGAAATGAAAAGGGTTTGGAGAAAGCTGAGTTACCAAAAGTTGCCCAGGGCAACTCCATGTCACTCCTGTAAATACTTTATTTA